CTAGGAGGTGCTCACTACCGCCCCCCCCCCCCCTAGATTAAATTCCTGCCTATATGCTTGAGAGGATAATAACCCAGGTAGCAAGCCCATTTGGGACCCACATGGGTCCCATATTCTCTAAAATGTTATCTTTATTGAGGGTGACTTGAAAAAGTTAATAACTTGGAAGGGAGGGGGTGCAACCTGCCACACGCCTCTACCTCTTGGTTGCTTTGATCCATTGCCGAAAATATTTTGGCACCTATCATCCCCCCCCCCCCCCCAACCGCGGATACAAATTGACACCCTTGGCCTTGAGACACAGGTTATCTTTCTTCAGCTGTTTGAGTTATCTGCTCAAATGATATTCCCGTCCAATGCTTGATGTATTCAGTCCGTGGCATATAGTTGGTCTGCCTCTCTTTCTCCCATTAGCTCATCATTGCAAGTTGTTGTTTTCCAAGCTAATCGTTCATCTAGTAACATGCCCAGCAACTGTAGGGGATCATGTTCCCCTATATAACTCTCTATTTGGCCTATTTAAAAAAAAATGTTGTATTGCCCTTTGCGACCGACCCCAAAATTTTGAATTCTACGGTCGGCTTTAATTTGTTTTTCCTTTTTAACCGTTTTTTTTTAGAAAAAGAATGTATTAAAGCATTAAAAACTGAGAAATATCAGCCCCCCCCCCCCCGAAAAATTAAATGAATAAATTAATTAATTAATTTTAAAAATAAAAAAATAAAGAGGATTTTCGACCGACCGACCCATGTTTTGGCACCTAAAGGGCAATACAACATCTTTGTTTTTGTTAGGCCTTATATCCCTCACGTTCTTACTGGACGTACGCAAAGTGTAGCGGATATCACTGACTTTGAATGATTCATTATCACTTTTTTCTCACCTTCTTTCATATCCCATACCTATGCCCCCTCTGGCACAGAAACACGTGTGCTTTTTGCAGATGTTCAGAAGAGAGTGGTCCGGTCAGTACGATCAAACGGGACTGATCTTCACGATGTTTTTTGGTGGAACAGCAGTGAAGTGGAAATGATCACGGCCCATAATGGAATTCTCAGTTTTGTTACAAACGGAAGAGAATTTGTGGAGGTCCCTTTATCTAACCCAACGCCATCATCGGTCAGAGTGGCTAAGACTGTGAGAGCAATAGACAGGGCCTATAACCTGCAAGGCGTCCTGGACCTTTACGTCTACCACCTCAACTAGCTAGCTCCCTACTAGGGAGGCGCGATAGCTCAGTCGGTAGAGCAGTAGTCTCGTAATCCGGTGACCCGGGTACGAAACCAATTAGTCGATGCGCCAGTGCCCTTTGGTAAGCCATTAATCCTCATTACCAGGTCCCTCGGAGAGGACCTAAAACCGTCTGCAGTATGGTTGCTTACTAACAAGCATTTATGCTTTCTTAGCTGTCAGGTAAAATAACCACCACTATATATACAGTGTGTCTAAAAAAAAAAAAGGATTGCAATTGGAAAATGGTAATTGCAATAATGATAACAATAATCATCAATATCATCATCATTTTCACCAAGGCCCGGCCCCCCCCCCCCACTCAGAGGTCGGAATGACCGCATGCGTGTTGCCAAAATGTCCGGTAAAGGGGTACTTTTCGTGCGACAAAGTCCGGCCCGAGAATTGTAAAAAAAAAGGGGTGTATTTGACTTTTCACCCGGAGTTTTCTTTAAAAAGGGGGTGTTTTTCATTTTTTCTCTCATCTCTTTGGGCTCCTGAGAAATTATTCCGAATTTAGGGGGTGCATTGAGCATTTTTCCTGATTTAGGGGGGTCCCCAAGGCAGGAAAAGCCCGCAAAAAGCCCGCGAAAGGGGGGTTCGGAAATGTTAACAGTCCTCAGATAGGGGGTGCTTTCAAAAAGAGGGTACGAGCATATGCGTACCCTAAATAACACTGAGTGGGGGCCGGCCGGGCACCAAGGTTAGCCTCAACCTTAATTGATAGTGTTCTCCCCAGGACCCCTGCGATGAAGTTATAACATGTTATAACCCCGGATGTAGAAAGAACAAAGACACCATGTAACTTGATTTAATTTCTCGAAGTTATCCATGAACACGATTGGCAAAGACTGTCTACGAATCAACCAAAGGGCAAAATCAATACCCAATGTCTTTGCCTATAGAAGTCGGAAAATTGTAGTTGTAATGTTTGCACATTTATTCAAAATTTAATAGTAAGGGTAATTGAAATTGCCCTTGGTTGAATCCTAAAATGAAATTCTAAACTTCCATGTTCTTGTGATATTTTCCCCCTTTTTTTCGTCTGGTAACTATTCATACTCCCTTGGCTGATGAGAAGGAGAACTGCATTTTCGTGACATTTTTTTGTAATTATTGAATTCAATTCCATGTTTTTTTTCCCCAAAAAACACAAGCAGTTCCCCCTTATTTTTTTTTCTTCTTTGGAGGGTGGTGAAAATTGCCCACCTGCTCTTCACAATTTGTTTCAACCTTTCTTTTAATTTTAATTATGTATTATCATTGTATATAATTTCAAATGAACAAAGCATAAACTACTATAATTAGGTGATCTGTCGCGTAGCTAGTAATGAGAAAGTTCTTACTCGAGCTGGAGTGCAAAGGAAAATGATACGTGGAATGTTGATTAGGCAGTTGAAGTTCATAGGTCACATTACACGTAAAGAAGGCCTAGAGATTCTTGCTTTGACAGGGAAAATTGTAGGAAGGAGTAGGGTAAGAAGGAGGATACTTTGGATGGACAGTCTGCAGAAATTGTTGGAAGAGAGAGAGGAGTGAAAGAACTGGGAGTGGTACTAATACAGAAGGCTAGGAGCCGAGGGTTGTGGACAGCATGATTGCCAAAGTCAAACGATATGGCACTTAATAGAGAGAGAGAGAGAGAGAGAGAGTCGCGTAGCGTGGCAGGGCGCCTATTGATTTGCCGTTCTTTTTGTCCTTTCTTTCTTTATGGATTTTGTTCGCTTAATATCCCATGAATGGCATGATTATTGACAATACAATGACATTTTCATGACATGTGCCATATGCATGATTATTGATCATATCGTAGAGATTTGTGATGCGTGACGTCATCCAAGCGCCATTTTGTTAATTTCTATTATTTACCATATTTCCGTCATACATTGTCATTTCTGAACGATATTTATAACCTTGATGTCATGTGTTAACGTTTGGTCACACCCATTAAATTAATTGGCCCGAATTCACAAAGGAGGTTTGTCGACAAACCTTGGTTTTCGTACGTCATATGACGCGTTTTATACAAACCGGGTTTGTAAAGAACAAAAGGAGGTTTGGCGAAACAAAAGGAGGTTTTTGTAGACAAACCTCCTTTGAGAATTCGGGCCTTTGAGTTTCTACATGTATTATGTCTCGATCAAAGCAGCAGATCACCTAATTTGTCTCTGTGGCGAAGTCAATGTCTATATATACGAGGTTAGCTTTTTAGCTTGTCCTACTGTTTTCAAAGAATCATGTTTCCTCAAAGCTTTTGTATCATATATCCTGTGTACATTGTGAAATTATTTAAGTTTATTTACTATTTACTCAGATTTATGAAACACATTATTTTAATCCGAAGTAATTAATGTTATCGTTGTTATGCACCAATTGTATGATTAGTTGAATTTTTTTTTTTTTTAAGTGAATCAGAATTTGAATCTGAATGATGGTTAAATAAAAATCTGTACAGCACACATAAATTGAATTGTACATATGATTATAATATTGATATATCGGTTGGCCCTATAACAAATGCACCTAAGCTTAAGACGTTTGCTACGAAGAGAAGAGATACAGAGTGAGATGATCTACAGTATTTTTTAACCAAACACAAAGGCATGTGAAAATGAAATTAAAAATGTTTTAGCCTGGAGCACTTTTCTTATTTTTGAAACATGGAAAGTCCGGGAAATGCTCGCAAAAAGCCCTTGCAGGGTTTGCAAAATAGTACAACGTCTGAAAGTGTTGCATCTCTTCATAAACAAATTAAAAACTTGACAAGCAGAAATTATTGGACATGTCGAAGAAAAAAAACGTCCTGCGTGCGCTTTGCGTGTTCTGCGTGTCTTCACAAAACATGAAGACCCGTGTGTCCGACGCAAGGACGAAATCCTTTGTAAAGCACACAGAGGGGTACACGGCCGGTTGTGACCATGGGCATGGCTTAATTCAAAAGTGAAAATTTACTTCTATAGTGCAATCTTGAGTATTATGATTTTTCTTGAGGTGCAGTTTATTTTCAAACGATCATATCATTAATGATTGGTTAAATTGTAAAAAGCGTAGTGCTTTCTAAAAAGTAGCACAAGATAACAGTTGGCGACGGTTAATGATTTCTTCTAGTTTCCTCTGACCGTTCTTCAGCTTCTCCTTGGTAGCTGTCAGTGAATCCATCTCAGCCTGAAAGACATCATACATCCAGACATCAGGTTAAATCTTTCTAATTAAAGGCATCGTTTAACAATGTTAAATCTGAGATGCGCGGCCCTACATGTTATCAATGTCTGTGATATGGTGTAATATTTTAGCCCTAGACAAATTGCGCTTCAAAATGATCAAGAAATGCCTCAAAAAAGTAAAAATCTTGGTGACCGGTTTTACCATACTCATGTTTCCCAATAGACTGTAGTATAATAAAAACCATTAGGAAAACGAAAAATGAAATTTTGATTTCCAATCATAAATATCTTGATAATCAGACAGGCGATTGGCTTGTAAAAGTCATGGGATTCATGTATGACCTTAAGGTTTATAATTATGATTGCAGCATGAGCTAAATCAAGGATTTTGTTTCAGAATCTGAGGCAATGTTACTGAGTCATTTTAATGATATCTGGATATGTTAATTAATATTTAAGGTTATGAATACAATAATTGTGCATTGTGAGGTTTTGAATCATCAGAAACAAATAAAATTAACTCCATCTTGTTGAAAATCACACATAGCAAAATGCTTCTTTTAATTGAATTACCTAGAATTTTTCTGAGTTCTGCTTGAGTTTCCTCTAGCATCGTCTGATAAACTACTTTGACTACTAACTGGTGGATGTGAACCTGCATAAGAAAATACAATGTTTATTGTTTGACTACTATTAAACTGTGTAGGTTAACCCTTTCTATAATACTATCTTTGCAGGGAATTATAATATATAGCTTGAATATGCCTTGAAGGCCACACCTCGCCATCGTGGTGATGAAGATCCCGTAGATAGTGTGGTGTGGCAGGGTTAAGGGGGTCCCATAGAACCCATTTAAAAACCAAGGTTGGATAGTTGTTGTTTGAAGCTTAGGAGTGTGGGAGCATCAATGGAAGATTGTGGCAGCTTGTTCCCCTTATTTACAACTCTCTGGCTATAGAAATTATTCCTGATGTCAAGGCGGCATCTTGTTTTGGCTAACTTCATGGAATGGCCTCTTGTTCTATCATAGTTAGCAAACTGAAAACTGATTTGTGTCATTATCCTGTAGGTTTGCAGTAGGTCTCCTCTTTCTAAGTGAACTTCTGGGGTCTAATCTTTACAACATTTTGTTTATACGAATTCGACTCTGGTTATGTATGTATATCTTTTCTGTAAACCTCAGAAATCATGTACCTTATTTTTGTTTCAGGCACAATGAAATAACTATTCATAGTCCAAACATAGGAGAGCATTTATATGCTTAGGAATGGAATTATCATAATGATCATTGCCTTATAATCATAAATCTGCATCTGCCTCATTTATTTCTGTGTTTACATCAGATTGTACAGAAATTGACTTTAATACTGGAATGGAATGAAGTTAGCTTGAAATTGGACTTTGGTCAAATTAAAAGGCACCAAAACCCTTAAGGATGTATTAGAGGGAAGAGTGGAAGGAACTAGACCGAGAGGGAGACCTAGAATCAACTGGGAAGAGAATGTCAAGAGCTGGAGTGGACTAAAACTGCAAGATTGCACCAGAATGGCAGAAGATAGAGTGAAATGGAGAGATGTTGCAATCTCTGAACCTCCGAACCGGGAGAAGATACTTAGATAGATAGAACTTTGACTAACCTGCAGTGCTAGCTGTAGCCATTGCGGCAGGGCTGTAAGACGGCTGGCTCTGCGTCTGCTGGCTTGGAGTAGACTGGCCTGGCTGGTATGGGTAGGGGTAACCTGACGAGCCCTGGTAGCCAGGGGTGTACCCACTACCACCTACAGCAGGGGGCTGGTAGTTGGTGGAAGGGGGGTACTGGGGCTGGGGCTGGGAGTAGCTGCTGGAAGCATTGGCTGGGGCCGGATCGGCATCGGCATAAAAGAGGCTGCAGATAAAGCAGTAGAAGTAAATGGGGGCTTATCTATCGGCTATAAAGTTATGGCAGAAAGACATTTTGGGGGACCACCAGAGAATCTGTAGCTTTTCAGTCATGTCACAGAAAATGGGTAAGGTTATTGATGTATGAGAAAGAAAGTCATGAACACTATTAAATCAATGAACAATATGGATATGAGAAAGAAAGACATGAACACTATTAAATCAATGAACAATATGGATATGAGAAAGAAAGACATGAACACTATTAAATCAATGAACAATATGGATATGAGAAAGAAAGACATGAACACTATTAAATCAATGAACAATATGGATATGAGAAAGAAAGACAAGAACTATTACATACATTTATTAATGGATTTTGATACTTTTTCAGCCTGCCAATTTACATATTAAATCCCAGAGTTGATTCCAAGTAGTATCGATCATTAAACCTGTCATATTTTTGCCCTTTCTTTTTATTCTGTCACCAAAATATAACCCTACATTCATGGGCATGAATACTATTCATTTAGTTAAAACCTGATGCCAGGTATGTGTCATCTTTAATATGAGAAACTTTGTTTTCACTTCCTTTGTTAAATTATGACGTCAGACCAAACTTCAAACCAGTGAAAAGTTAACATTTGAGTAGAATACCCGCCAAACAGTGCAGAATTTTTAAACTTGTTTATAAAATAAAAGAGAAAATAAATGGCAGTATCAATTCAAATTCTCCATATAACACCAGTATATATATATGCACATGTTACACCCTGTTACCCCCAAAAGTATCCCCTCTATTCTCCTGGGCCGGTATTCAATTCAATACTTGGAATAAGTAAGAAATTTATTAAGTAAATGGCTTAATTAATTAAAATACTTACTGATACCATTGTGACATCACACGGTCAATCGAACGTATGGCGCAATGACAATGACAATGACAATGACAATGACAATGACAATTTATTCTCATGTCACCCACATTGGGGTATTGGAGAAGTTTACAATCAGTTTGAATTTGTCAATTAAACACTGTGAAATATACAATACAAATAGAATTAATGTTAATCCATGCAAAATAACACTATCGACAATAGTGAGAAAAATTATGATGATAATGATAACAATATTGATGATGATAATAATAATAATAATCAAAAACAAAACGATAATATTAATTAAAACGATAATTAATGACGAAATTAATGGAAGCAATTGAAAAAGAAATTTACTGGCACCAGTAAATTGATATCTGAATTAATGAATTACTGAAAATATTCTTGATATCAATTTAATAAATTGATATAAGACAAAAAAGAGAAACATAAAGTTAATATTTAACTCATAACATGTTTTTGCACATACTTAAATTAATGAAAACGAAGCATTATTTTTCGACAGAATTTTACTAAGTTTAAACGTGTTTGTACATTATTGGAGTTAAAAAGCTGATCCATTTTCAGTGTATTTGGTTTTTCAATAAAATATTTATCGATGAACAATTTTCTTTCTGAACGAAAGGTAGGGCATACAAACAAGTAATGAAACTCATCCCCAAGCGATTGCAAATTGCACAGCGTACATAGCCTCATTTCCCTTGGAGTATTAGAATATCTACCAGCTACAATCGGCAGGTAATGATTGCCACAGCGAAAACGACTTAATATTGTCCGATCTCTTTTAATGAGATCGATTAAGTATCTTTCTTAACATAAAGAATGTTTGAAGATTCGATAGTTAACACAATGCGAATTATCATACATACAAGCAGACCAATACTGAGCATGAGAATCTCTCAATCGACGTTCCACAGTTTGTTTGACCCACTCATAGCTAGTATTTTTACAAATTTCCCATAAATTAGACATCCCCATATTGTCCAGAGTCAGCTTGATTTTTTTAACCAAGGTGCCTGATATATATTCTTCTCAAAGAGTAATTTTAAGATAATATACACCTTACCAGAAAATTTATCCTGTCCACTATGTACAATCCTACACCAGAAGTTTATCATTCTGCTTTCGATATATTTCTCAAGTTTAAGCCTCTCCCAATTCACCAAGTACCATACAAGTTGCAGTTGTTTTGTTGACAGAAAGGGCTTGCTTACAAAATTTCATGTGGAAAATTTCAAGATCATGTAGCACTTCAAATCCCCATATCTCACTTCCATAGAGCAGAATGGGCAACACAAGTTGATCAAATAATTCCAAGAGAATATCAATAGGTAAGTGCAGTTGATAAGTTTTAGATAATAGACTATACATTGCTCGTCTAGCTTGATTAAGTTGCTTAATTTGAGCTTTACGAAATTTGTTGTTGTAGTTAAAAGTAGTTCCAAGATAGACGTATTCATCAACAACTTCTACAATATCATGATCAATTTAAATATAGGAATTTTTCGAACTTTACCACGAGAAAATACAACAACTTTGGTTTTAGCTGTGTTAACTTGAAGAAACCATTTTTTACAGTAATCAGATACTGCATCAACAGCAAGCTGAAGTTCACTTTCAGTTTTTGCAAGAACTATTGTATCGTCTGCATACAGTAATGTAAAAAGCCTGAGATATACATCTATACCTTTTTGATACGCAGCTGCATCAATCTTGTCAGGAAGAATATTTATGCCTCCAAACTTTTCACAAATGAATTGTTTGAAGTCATTTAAAAAAAGGGCAAATAGCATCGGAGACAAATTTTCTCCTTGTCGCACACCAATATTACAATCAAATGAAGAAGACTTTTCTGTACCAGAAATTACACATGACTTAGCCTGAGCATACATATGCTTAATTACATTGAAAAACTTTCCATCAACATTATTCTTAAGTAATTTATTCCAAAGAGAACTCCTGTCAACCAAATCAAATGCCTTCTTGTAGTCAATAAATGCACAATAAACCCTCTCTTTTGAAGAGAGATATAAATCGATCACTGAATGAAGAACAAAAATGTGATCAAGCGTTGAATGACCATTTCGAAAACCAGCCTGTTCATCACCTAGCAATTCATTATCTTCGAGATAAGACGTAAGTCGCTCATTCAAGACTGCTGTAAACAGCTTGCCAAGACAACTAAGCAATGTTATTCCTCTATATTTGTTCGGATCATTAGGATTTCCTTTCTTCTTATAAAGAGGGTGAATTAACCCTATTGTCCATTCAGATGGTACAATTCCACTTTCTAATACAATGTTAAATAACCTAACGATTACTGATAAAACAGATTTTGTGCTACACTTCAAAAATTCATTTAGAACTAAATCATCGCCATGTGCCTTACCGTTTTTCAGTCTATTTATTTGACGTGTTACTTCTTCCCTGCTTATAGAACGATTGATACATTGATTGCTCGAAAGAATTTGGTCAGGTTCTAATATATCTGCATTATCTCTTTGATTTTGGCTCAGACCACGAAAGTGTTGTTCAAGAGAATGAATTTCAATTGGTTTTTTTTCATTATTTAAACCGTTAGCTGAATTAATAATTTTCCAATATGCTTGTGGTTGATTGATTTTAAGATTTCTTAATTCACTGTGGATTTTTATATCAAAGTTGCTTTGAGCTGAACGAATAGCTTTTTTGTACATTTTCTTAACTTTGGTATATTCCTTTTCAATACTATCAGATTTATCAGTCTTCCTAAGATTTTTAAGATGAAAATACTGAGCCCTTAACCGAGCACAGTTTGCATCAAACCATGGTTTCCGCTTTCGACCAGATTTACAAGGTTTATAATTTCCATAGGTTTTTACCATTCCACTTTTTTTGGCCGCCGTAAGGTAAATATTTTTTAATAAACAAGATACATTATCGATTGATTCCTGATCAATCTGAATGTCGTGACCCTCCAAACGATCAACAGCATGATGTATATTTTCAACTAGACTTTGATCGATGTTATCAACAAAATCTTTAGCAGAATTTACACTCCATTTAATTTTCGTCGTTGATCCCGAAACTTTTTTCACTTTTCCTTCACTTTTCCATTTTTCATAACTGCTTTCGCTATTCAATCTTAATACAATGGGATTATGTTTGTCAGACAAAAAAGGGTCAAATACATCAACCGCAAAATGATTAAGGACATGGAATAATTCGAGCGATGCGGCACAATAATCAATGGTACTTGTGTTAGCACATGTAAAATCACCTTGTTTATCCACGCCTACACGACCGTTTGCAATAATCAGTTTAAAATGTCTACATAGTTCAAGAAATCTTTTTCCGTGGTTATTGATAACAGCGTCGCTGTTACATCTTCTCAACCTTATGTTATAAGTCTGGAAATTATCAGTGTTTATATAATCGTTATCAAAATCATTCACATAATGACTGTTGGCGCAATCCTCAGAATAACCAGAGATTTCATTTTCAACACCTGTTCTTGCATTAAAATCTCCAAGGAGACAAAATGGCATGTTATGTACATTTTTTTAACATGAGAAGATCAGAAGCAATGTCATCAAACATAGACTCGTTAAAATATTTAGAATTTTCAGGAGGAATGTAAACAGCACCAAGTATAAACGGAAATCCAAATGCCTTCTCGCCGATCTTTAACCAAAATACTGTTTCAGATTTAGCCTGTTTAATAATTGACACAAAATTGAATATTTCTTTTCGTAGTAGAACACCAAGTCCATGAACGCCACCAAACGGAAAGTTGCTTTGACTTGGTTTGTCTTTAAAGAGGTATTTGAAGCCATCAGGTTATGATACTGCTTTAGAAAAACATATGCCTGCCAATAAAGGCCTCCAAAAAAATGGCTTAATTCTGGTAGGAGCTGTCTTAAATGTAGGGTAAAATACTTACCGGTAGCCAAAAGTTTGAATTGAATACCCAAATTGGCTAAGTATTTTATCTAAGCCAAATACTAAGTAAAAAGCTTAAATTTTGTACGTAAGTATTGAATTGAATACGGGCCCTGGGCCCTGTAAAAACAGAGCAGAGGTAGCAATCAATTGTAAATGGACAATGGCCAATCAAGATAATCGTTACATGCATTATTGTTCTGGTCTCAACTTACATTGCTGCGGTTGTGGGTAACTGGGGTGCTGGGGCATCCCACCTCCTTGTGGGGTGTAGGAGGGGCGGGGCGGCGGTTGCCCTGCTGATTTGGCATAGACGGGAGAGCTCTCTCCGAAGACGACTGTCATGACCTGGATCAGCCCAACAAGATCGGAGTTGTTCTGGTGAAGAAACAAAGACAGAAAGAGATGCATTATCATAGAGATGCAAAGGTGATCCAATACTTACTCCGGAGACGTTTATGCTCCGGGCTTGAGTTTGAACAGATGAAGGATTAGAGCTTGGGTTTAGTATACATTTAGGAATTAAATTAGTTCTAGAAATTGACCACAAAGTGATTACATGTATTTACACAACAAGTACACTTGCTGTAACATGTAAATATTTACACCAGGGCCCCATCTGATAAAGAATTACGATTGATCCTATAACTTTATGAACCAGAGCAATATAACACTGAGCTCCTATAGGAAATCTTTTCATTCAGCTGGTTATATCTCAGCCAATAATTAACATTTTCAACTGGTTTTCGACATTTGGACATTATTTGTTATGCTCCTTCGGAAAATGAAGAAAAATTGAGAAATTCTAAAATTAGATTTTTTGATGACGTCACACTTCACCACTCTATAACACAACAATACTTATATGCTAGATTATGATCAACCTTTTCTGATCAATTCCACAATGTTACTTTCACAATGCAATCGCATGACTAGAACTTTATCTTTAAATGTTCTACTTACTGGTTTCCAATCATGTAGATAGGGCAGGTAGACCCTTCCGTTGGCATCTACATGCTTAGAGGGCTTGATAAGCATGGTACTGGTGGGCCGCACAAAGCATAGAGGGGGGTTGTGTGGGTGCGTCTCAAGGATCCACACACAGATTGGTATGTTGTATGTGTTGGCTGAAATATAAAGATATTATGTGTTATTATTTTATTTATTTATTTTAATTTTTTGGATTAGCCAAGAAGAGTATAGAGAAGTGCAATGATGCAGCTTGAAAATATTTAAATACAAAGAAAATCTGTCTCTTATTATGAAGCACTTCCGAGTTGGTCACTGCAAATTGACAGGTTGTGAAGTTGATCAAACAATCCTTATTTTTTTTCAGCAAACCCAAATTATGGCAAAATATCATAACTTTCATAATTGTATAAATAACCAATAGACAAAAATCTGACAACTTAACCTACAATCATACAAACAGATATATGTTATTCAATGAAATCTGTCCGCTTCGGAAGAATCAATAATAATCACAATAAGCAATAGAAATAATTATTGTTTAAAGGGTTTTTGTGACCGTGAATGGATCAATGTTTGAACGAGAAAAATTCGCTCATTCTTCTTCGCTCTTCCTTTTTTTCAGCGCTCGTCAGAATTAGCTTTTGATGTGCATTAATTCACTCGTGTAATCGCTCTTTCAATTCGTACTCATTGAAAAAATTATCATCAATGATTGATATCCCTAATTGATAAAGGTACACCAATTACTATTTTCCATTGTTACAGTTCTTCTTGATTTGATAGTTGTTACCATGATAACACCATGATTCATGGCTGTTGACCTTTAATATTGATTGGTATAACTGATTCTGACGAAAATGACCAATAGCAAACTGTAATAACAGTTTTTTTTCTGAAAAATAAAAGGCAAGTCCTAATGGCCTATCGCAGAGGCATTTATAAGTATGTCAGTGATCATTCGGTTTTCAGATTAGAAGTAGCGATATTAGTTCGATTGTAGCAAGAAACGCGCAAACTTGCCAACGAGTTCACTCCGTCTCTCTTTCAGTCAGTGAGGTCACATTTACCATAATTACTAAAGCTTTGAGCAGAGCCTAGATCTACCAGTTCCTGCCTCTGTCAGGAGCGGATAAGTACAGAGCCTTTAGTAGTCTCAAATTGCAGACGCTGTTACGCACAACGACCGACCAGGATTTGTGCCTGCAAACCACGCATTTCTTGCCATTTGGCGTCAAACCTTGTAGTTTCTAGACAGATACTTACACCTTAATAAGACGTAGTCTGTGATTCACATCCAAAACAAAAACTATCACCAGAAATGGTAAGTGTTTTACATCTTACATAGGCAGTGACATATTTTATTAAAAGACATATTCCACGAAGATATTTTGCAACGAATCTTTGGGGGTTTCTTTTAATATTGTATGAGGCCAATGGATTTTGGTACACTGTCTTCTATAACAATGTCTATCTTCGTACATAATAAAGTACTTGGCATGTTTCGGATCGTCTGATACTGTTTGCGCTAATAGCTTCATTAACAAAAGCCGGTGCATTGCTTCTTTTTTTAAAGACCTTTCATTTTATAGAAACGTTGTTGATATAATCTGTATACTCGATATAAATAGGGGTTAAAAACCAAGTTAAATGTCTACACCTACTTACAAACATTACATTCTTTTTATTAACCTTGCCATATCGTTAATGTATGTATTCTGTTGACTATAGGGCCCCGCTCACAAGCTTAGCTTTTACAGGAGTCCTAAAATCACTCATTTAATGATGTAATCAAGTTAATATATGTTTATTAATGTACTATTACCAGTCTCGTTTTCATGTAAAAGATTATATCATGTTTTGTGTGGTTTTGAATAAATGAACTTGAACTTGAACTTGAACTTGAACCTGGATTCATAAAATATTGTTGAACTTGTAAAAAAATGTATAAAAGATTATTTTCTAAGCTCTTCAGCACCAAAGATGTTATGATAAAACCGTTTGTATTGGTCTCGTATACCGACCAGTGACGTTGAATTGAAATCATTCAGAAATTTACAAAATTTACATGTTAATTAATTTTGCAATTCAATTTTCGTCAGTTAATTGTAGTTTAGTAAAATGTATAATTGTCCTGTTGTTCTATTTTATCGTAGAAATTATAGATTAAATTATAAATTACGATAATTATTCAATGCCCTTTATTAATGAACATCGTGGAAATTCTCGGAAAATATGGAAGTGTCTGAAACATGTAATTCCTAGGTCCAATAAGATCTCTCCGCATAGTTTGGAAATGGTGTTCGTAAATCAGATCCACCTACCATAGCTAATACATTCAATAACCTTTTTACTACCTGTGCTTTAAATATAACTAAAGACCTGAAAAATACTAAAACTGAATCTCCGATTGGTTATGATATGCTGGTTAATCCAATAGCAAAATTTGATTTGGACGATGTGTCTGAGGACTTTGTCATTAAGGAAATTGATCGCATATGCAAAGATAAAGCCACTGGCGATGACCAGATTTCTTGTCGTCTTCTAAAAAATGACGAAATATGTGATAGCAGAATAGTTAACCGATATCATAAACAAATCTTTGACCACGGGATGTGTACCCAATGGCTGGAAAGCAGCTCGAGTAATTCCTATTTTTAAAGCTGGTGATATGTCTAATCCATGCAATTACCGCCCAATTTCTAATTTGTCTGTTGTTAGCAAAATCAAGGAGAGGGCTGTACATCACTAACTTTCTGAATTCATTGATGATAATAATATCTTGAACTCTAATCAGTCTGGGTTTCGAGCGAAGCATTCTACAACAACAGCTCTCATGAAATTTGTAAATAATTGATCATGGAACATTGAAAACAGAAAGATCTCTGGTGTCGCTTTTATCGACCTTCGTAATTAATGGAATGGATTAATCAAAACCGCCTTGTACTAAACAAAAACAAAACTTGCGCCATGGCCATAGCTTCGCGTGCAAATTTGAATAACATAACAACCTTCAACGTTTCTATGAATTGAAAGGCATTGAATAGAATTAACGTCGTCAATTATTGATGAAGAATTGAATTGGTCCAAGCACGTTGACAAAGTAACAAAAGTAACGCAAAGAAATATCAGTGTAATAAAACGAGCTAAGGACTATTTACGAATAACATCTTTAAAGTTGCTGTATAATGCACTTGTATTGCCTAACTTTGATTATGGTTCCTATGTGTGGTCAAATCGATTTCAGGAACAAACGGATAAACTCAAGAAAGTTAAAAAAACGAGCTGCTAGAATAATTTCAAACAAAAGTTACGAGACTCCATCCAGTGAATTGATTGGCAATCTAAAATGGATGCCAATTGAGTAACGTTTTGAATTTCAGCGTGTTAATATGATGTTCAAATGCACACGTCATTTCGCACCATCCTATTTACAAGAAAGTTTAATTAAAGTAAGTGACATTCATCACCATAATACGTGTCAGGCAGTTGAAGGTTTTCTTTCTGTGCCAAAGTATAAAACAGAATGCTTTAAACATAGCCCCCTCGTTTCTTCAATTATAGCATGGAATCAGTTGGACAGATAATTAAAAATGGCAAGCTCTGTGAACACCTTTAAATACATGTTCAAACATTCTTGCATTATCGATTCCCAATAAGATAAAATGAGTGTATGTCTTCTTAGCACTGAATGTAGGACGATATAATGCTTTTCAAACTTAAAGAATGATTTCATATAATTTATTATCAGCTATAAATACATTTGTAGTTTTAATGTTATTTAAGAGTGTACATTCAATTGCAATACTAGATTACATGCATTAATTTTTCATATAATCTACTATCCTGTAATATTTTGTGTTGTTGTAAATATGTGTATAACAATTGAACTCTCAAAGTATATGTTGCCTTTTTTCAAGATCTAATACTTACCGAAATATGCTTAATAGTTACTTTTCATCGGATTTAAAAACTAATTACTGTCTATGCTATAATGATAAATTAAAATATTATAATTATGCAGCAACGTTTTCTTGAACGAAAAAGCAAAGTAAAACAAAACAAATAAACCATTCATTTATTACGAGGATACCAAATACTTTGTATATATGTTTATACATGTTCTTACTTATTGTTTATTGCTGTTATGAATTTATGTTCATGATTTTGTTATTACAATATATATTTTGTTTAAACTATTGTTCCTCATTATGTCGAACAGGGCCTCATGGAAGACCACCATTATTGGTCATAATGAGTCACCCTGTCTAAATATCAGAAATAAATGAATGAATAAATATATAAATGTCCTTAGTATAACCCCCTAATCACTGGATTTCAAGTCGGTACGCAAGGTGCACCATCTCTATTCCTTGGATAACATTCCTAATTGTCCCATTATGCACCATGTATATATCTAGGACCAATAATCAACGCAGTCAGGACTGTCAGGTACTAAAGGCTGTTTAGCAATCTTCACAATTACCCATCGTCTCCCCGGTGGAGAGAGGCATTCATGTATTGTGGAATAATGTCTTGACAAAGGACGTTACTGCACCGGCTGGCGAGTGACCGATGGGAGAGGTGCTGTGGTCTAGTGGATAAGTGAACCACAATGTATAGGGTTCGAATCCCTGCCGAAGCACCAATGTCTTAGTAAGACACTTTAATCAACATTTACCGCGGTCAATACAGATGAAGTATAATTTGGTATATGCTTGGATGTATATATTGATTGCAGTGGGCGCTTCGGCTGCAGGGGCTGAAGCTTAAGCCGAGATAAAATATCCAAAAAATAATTTGGAAGCGCATAGAGACGTAATAAGATCAGGCAATACGCACTGTACAAGGAAGGAATGTCATTATCATTATTAGCATATTACCAAGTACTTTATAGACCCAGTGAATGCCGCTATTTCACTCGCAACTAAATTAATTAGCTCATTTTATTTATATTAACAGGCGGCTCCATCATCTTTGTGGCTGAGTATTTTAATCATAATCACCAGTGAGTAACTATACCGTGTGAGTCAAAGAAAAGTTTACACCTAGAAAATTGCTATTTATTTTAAAAATCATCTATGAACAGTAAATTATTATACATTTTATGAAAGAGTGTTTTATCCCAAATCATTTGGTATCATTTTTGTGTGG